CCAAAATTAACACAAGAAGAAACAGAAAAAAAAAATCCTAAAATGTGCACATAACTACTGAAAACCCAAAATAGCCAAACAAAAAAAAAAAAAAAAAAAAAAAAAAAAAAAAAAAAAAAAAAAAAAAAAAAAAAAGAAAAAGAAAAAACATACATCTCTGTATCTATTTTTTAAATACGTGACTGGGTTGTAAATTATTTAGAGCTCCTTTGGCAGATCTAAAGTGTAACAATGTATAGCCTGTTTAATCTGCCAATATTCCAACTATCCCAAACTTCAAATCTAGCCCCTTGATCATCAAGGAAGATAGTAGGAAGATGGTATTAGAAGGCAGTGGTAAGGCTTTTTGAAGGATGGAAAAGATAAAGGTGCCCTAAGAAATTAACTTCCAGTAATTGCAAACCATTCCTTGGAAAAGAATAAGAAATTCAGCTAATTACTTAAAAAGCAACCGTGAAATACCAGCTGAGAAAGCAGCCATTCCAAAGGTAGATCCTGAAATATGAAGGCCAGAGTCCTTACCTAGTGATACCAAATTGCTGTAGTTCTCCAACATCACATCTCTATACAAATCTCTTTGAGCAGCGTCCAGGCATTCCCACTCTTCTTGAGAGAAGTCAATAGCAACATCCCTGAACATCACTACTTTCTGAAACAACAAATGAAATGTTAGTTTTGGAAATTAAAAAATTAGGCTGGGTGTGGTGGCTCACGTCTGTAATCCCAGTACTTTGGGAGGCTGAGGCGGGTGAATCACGCGGTCAGGAGATCAGGACCATCCTGGCTAACATGGTGAAACCCTGTCTCTACTAAAAATACAAAAAATTAGCCAGGTGTGGGTGGTGGGTGCCTGTAGTCTCAGCTACTCAGAAGGCTGAGGCAGGAGAATTGCTTAAACCCAGGAGGCAGAGGTTGCAGTGAGCCCAGGTCGTGCCACTGCACCCCAGCGTGGGTAACAGAGTAAGACTCTTTCAAAAACAAAACCAAAACTTTTTCAATGGGGGGAGATCATGGGGAACACTCCACAAAGGAAGCAAAGGAGCAAATGGGCAGAAAAGTACAAATATGTTCCTGATTATTCCTATTACTATAGTTTTGCTATCGTTGTTTTGGAGACAGGGTCTCCCTCTGCCACCCAGGCTGGAGTACAGTGGTGCCATCATAGCTTACTGCCGCCTTCAACTCCTGGGCTTAAGTGATCTTGCCTCAGTTTCCTGAGTAGTTGAGACCAAAGTGTGTGCCACTGTGCCCAGATAATTTTTAAATGTTTTCGTAGAGACAGGGGTCTTGTTATGTTGCCCAGGATAGTCTTGAACACCTGGCCTAAGAGACCCTCCTGCCTAGGCCTCCCAAAGTGCTGGGATTACAAGTGTGAGCCACTGCACCTGGCCTGCTGTAGATATTTTCTACATACGGAATATCTTACTTTATAGATAAGTCTGGGAATTAATAAAGTAAATGCAATGTCCCAATTAAAGGAAATAGTATACATGAGCATTCTATACAATATGTATATTGTGTATCATACATTCTCAATAAATGTAAGTTTCTCTTTCTTCACTATTTAAGGAATAAACAAAATAACTGGGAAAAATTATCTGTAAAACCTTATAAAATAGATTTGTATAAAATTAAAGAATTTATTGAAGCTCCAGATTCACCATTAGATCTAAGTACTATATCATAAACATTTTCCTCATCATCAATAATTTAGTAAATATTTTATAGGATACAGAGTAGCTCCATATAATGAATATATCTGATTTAATAAGTGCTCATATTTAAACATTTTAGGTTGTATAAAATAAAATTGTGTAAGTATTTCTTAGTTCTCAGAGTTTATTATTCTCAGCAACTTCTGCTGGTAAATGATCACCTTTACCATGATCATATTTACTATTCATCCATAAATGTAACTTTTCATCATTCTAAGCAATAGAAAGGTGAAAAACATAATCCAAATTTACACATTCAAGACCAGTACATAATGTTGAATTTCAAATTGATCCATATTAAATTACATCTTCCTGGGGAAGATCCCTGATCTTTCTGTATTCAGTCCCTCATCATCTTCCTAATCTTAAAAACTAATAAAGCATGAGCTCTTGCCATATACTGAGAATGTGCCCAGTCACGACCAACTCCTGTCTTGTCTACCTGGGAACTTAGATCTAAAGAGAAGTTCAAAAGGTTTTCATGTGTGGTGCCATTTAATATCTTCCTCTGTCTTATGAAATCAGGGAACTCTGCTTTTATTAGATCAGTGTTCCTAGTCAAAGACGCTGAATGGATTGTTGAATAAGTATGTGACTACAGGCTAGATTAGAAAGACACACTTAGGGAAGACACTATCACTTATAAGAATGGGACAAACTGGGGAGCATATTCCTGAGGGAGGTCAGCTAGGAATGAATCTTCAGAAGTAAAGAATACAAATACACACATACTCTGTAAAAAAGTAAGTGAAGAGAGCACAAAGAAACTCCAATTTACCCAAGCCATGGTTTTTAGACCTGCAAGAAATGATCAGTCCTCTTCTGGTTTCCTATCTTAGAAAAGCACAGAGTCTGGAGAATGCAGAGCTAGGGAGGAAAGAGCAGAACAGTAAGACCAGGTGTTTTGCAAACTAAGAAATGATTCAGTTGGAATTATCTTTTTTGTTCTTTTCTCCCGGTATCTTTCTCCCACATCAAAACACACACTAAGAGGGATACATATAGGTTGTGGTTCTTACCTTGATCAAACTCAATGCTTTCTATCTACAAAAAGAAAATATAACAATGTCTCTATCACTTCTGAAATGAAACTCATAGGTAATTTGACATCTACAGATGTCAAAATGGAGAAAAGGAACAACTTAATATTTCAGTATATTTATGATCATACACAACTACATTAGAAGACACAAATAATTAAATGCTTATGCTTACAATGACTTATAATGAAGAAATTTAGATTTCTAAAATGACAACAAACTCAATTCTTTCAAAAGATTAATACAGTTTATAAACCCCTACCAAGCTTTCAAGAAAAAAATATTACCATAGTGGAGACTAGAGCACAGATTTTTTTAAGGCTTAAATTAAAAAGATAATACAATTCTATGCCAATAATTTTGGCAATTTCATTGATACAGACAAATTCCTTAAAACAAAAATTGCCAAAATTAACACAAGAAGAAACAGAAAAAAAAAATCCCATGGATATTAAATAAATTGAATTTGTAGGAAAAAACAAGCAAACAAACTATCTAGAGAAGGCCCAGATGGCTTTACCGGTAAATTCTACAAACATTTAAGGCAGATATAACACTATTCTTTCACAAACTTTTTCAGAAAAAGAAAAAGAAGATAGCACTCTGTTCCACATTTTGAGGCCAAATAGCCATATTACTAAAACCTCACAAAGATATTACACACAAAAAATTACAGTTCAATATCCTCTAGGAAAACAGACATACAACAGAGTTATAAAATATTACCAATCAAATCTATTTGACTTTTGAACCACAAGTATGTTTTCTATAACTAAAATCACAAAATTAAATCAAAATGAAAAAAATTCTCTAAGAACCAAAAGCAAAATGAAACAAATTTATCTGCGCATAAAGCTGGAAGGTTAAACATATAAAGGAAGTGATTATTTTAAGAAACTTTAAAATATAGTCTTTTTATTTTTATTTTTTGAGATGGAGTCTCACTCTGTCACCCAGGCTGGAATGCAGTGGTGCAATCTCAGCTCACTATAACATCTGCCTTCCAGGTTCAAGCAATTCTCCTGCCTCAGCCTCCTGAGTAGTAGCTGGGATTACCAATGTGTGCCACCATATCCGAATAATTTTTTATTTTTAGTAGAGACGGGGTTTCATCCATGTTGGCCAGGCTGGTTTTGAACTCCTGACCTCAGGTGATCATCCTGCCTCGGCCTCCCAAGGTGCTGGGATTACAGGAATGAGCCACTGCGCCCAGCCAAAATATAGTCATTTGACATTAGATCCAATATAACCTACAAACAAAATAACTATAAACTGTTTTTCAAAGTTGTCTTAGAGTTTATAACTTTGTGAAGTTATGTCTTAGAGTTTTTCACTAGTGATACCGTTATTAATATTAGTATTGTTAGTCTAAAACTAATACATGTATATAACCTGAAATGATTATACACACATACACATATGTCAGAGAGAATCTTAGTATTGTTAATCATTACAAATTAAGATTTTTTCAGATTACAAAAGCAACACAAACATAAAATCAGATACGTAGTAAGAAAAACTCTATAATCTTTTAATTCGACTGGAAATATCAGGATACACTCAGGCTTTTTTTTTCTCCTTCAAAAAAAATTTGTATTTCACCAGCTCTGTTAAGGCTATAAGCAATGACAACTAGGAGCAATGAGAGTTCCTGCTGTCCTGGTTGTGACTTCTTAAAACCACTTCACATAAAAGGAAACAGGGTCCCATAAAGAAGTGGCTGATCTTATGTTTGGGATGGGAAAATGTTTAAAATGAGTCTAGAATACCCTGTCAGAACAGAAAGTCTGGAATCTACCAAAGACTACTGGAGTCATGTTGAAAAGGACAAAAAGGAATAAAAGAGTAGGAAAATCACAGAGGGTAAACCTTCCACTTGCCATACATGGAACAATGTGAGCATTAATAAGAACAGTAACTGTTACAGATGGAAACATAAAAGATATGTTTTAATCCACAAATTAATAATAACAGTTCTTTTCTTTTCTTTTCAATTCAGTCTCTGTAGAGACTGTCTAAAATTGCCAATGCCGATTATATTGCAAGTCTTTACGTTGGGGTATTGGGAAAAGTTTTTAATTAGCAATAATTGCGCCTCGGATAAACCTCATCGGCTATGATACTGCCACTGTACAAAGCTACTAATAGTTTAAAAGAAAAACACGGAATAAGCTTTGGGAGATGCAGAAAAATAATAAGAGGAAAACCAATCTTTTATTCTAGTTCTGTTTTTTTTGTTGTTGTTTTTACACCATAAACTATTCTTTAGGTAACCAAGACACTGAGAAAGAATGACTCCCTTTATAGATATATTCCAGCTAATAAATGCAGAAGAATTATCATTTCATAACCCCTGATAAAATAACATATTCAAACAAAGATGCCAATAGCGGGCTGCTAACATCACATAAAGGAAAACAATCAAATATTATGCACCACTTCAGAGAAGTGCACATCACTATGTATGATGGATTAGTAAAAAACAAGCAAAAACCAACAAAAATCCTCAACCTGATCAAACCTCTAAAATTAAATACCAGTTTACAAGAAATACAAGGTCAGAGGAAAGTGTTAAATGACACCAGAGACAAGCAATCAACAAAATCCAGAATATGGGTAACTGTACAGGAAAAGAAAGAAAAAGTGAAAGAACCCAGGGATTAGAAGAATATTTAAGAAACAGGCCGGGCGCGGTGGCTCAAGCCTGTAATCCCAGCACTGTGGGAGGCCGAGGCGGGTGGATCACGAAGTCAAGAGATCGAGACCATCCTGGTCAACATGGTGAAACCCCGTCTCTACTAAAA